CATAAGTTATTTGAACCCAAGACATGGGGTATCCTCCTAACAATGTACTCATATTAATAAGGGAAACAAACATATTCATTGATAAAAAACTGAACACATGTTTATTAAAGAAAATATCCCATCCTATAATGATGCAGCTAACGCCAAAATTCAGTGTGAACTCTCATTGTCCTCTCATCAAGACAAGGTTATATTTCAACGGAATACCACATAACGAACTACCAATATCTCACATTTGAAAAAAAAATGTGACATACAAGTTCCACCTTCTTTTGTTAGTGATCATAAGTTTCAACAACACAACTTGGGTAAGGCACCACAATCAACACCCTTTATTTATGTTAATGTTACTTTAAATTCCATTCTTTGAGTTGTTTAAACCTTATCATCCCAGGTTGATCCTTTCATAGGAAATATCCTACAAAAGGTGGATACAACTCAAAAAGAGCTTGACTATTTAAAAGCTCTAGTCTCAGCTCCGGCTCCAGTTCCACATCTCAACCTGAAAGCAATTCAAAACTTCTAACTATTTGAGATTTCCTAACTACTTCTTCTCGGCTTCGTGATATTATAGTAGATTTCCATGTCTCCTATTTTCTACAATCTGCTCCACAGTTTTGACCTTAAATGACCGGGAAATGGTTTAATTCATGTTGGTTTCATGAATCTCTCAGTTTGTCAACAGCTTCCATGGGTTGCTTACTCTGAAAAACACTTTTTATGATAAGCCAATTAGAATTTCAACACTATGTCTGATGATAAAGTCTTTCCAGTCCTCACTCTTACTACTCATCTGCAACCCATTTCAAATTTCTTAGCATAAACCAATGTATTATGTTCCTTTAATGATAATCACTATTTAGAAGATCCAAAATACAACTATGTGGCTTAATGGGATTTTTAATATGCCTCCTTACATAACGTCCTCCATTCCCTCTCCGTCTACCAAATTAATGCATGCTCAAGTTGCTGATGGTAATCATCCTTAAAATCTTGACCAATTTAGTGTTTCACCTCATTCCACTTTGTTGCCAACTTCCATTGCCTTTGCTATTCTTGACGATGTCTAAAAAGGAGAATATTATAGCAGAAGAATCATTTTCAAAAGGTAGAGTTAGAATTAAATGGTGAAGGATATTTGTTTGATACATATCTCTCATATATCAAAGACAAGTGCATTCATGTAATTCCTATTTTGTGCTTTATGCAGAACAACAACAAGCACTAGTTGAAGGGGAGTCGCTATCTGAGAGGGAGTCGTTTGCGGTTAAATATTCTAATATTATTTTAAAGGGAAATACATACCAAGTCGATACTATGTCAGCCTCAAAGAGAAAGAAGCAGAAGATTGCACTACCTTTAGTTGGACAAATGGTTAAAGAAATGGGCATCATAATAGATGAACCATTAAAGATTGATTAAGATCACAAGAAATTCATCCTTTTGAAAAACATACAAAATTTGGTGAAACTAATGCATTGGAGGTGGATACAAAAGAAGGAATACTAGAGGAGCAATAGAAAGTGATTGAACAACACTCAAAGGTTGTATCTAGAAGGAAAAATTTAGTTGAACTGAACCACAAGATACATATAGAAAAATTTACACATGTGTATATGAGGAGGTACTTACTAGGAGAAATTATTAAAGTTGGGTATACAAAGCCCAAGAGTTACAAAATCTTAACCTTGCACCTGAACAAAACGATTACTCATGGCACAAAGGTTGAGTTTGTCATGATAACTGATGTGGTAAACTTTGGGTTCAATGAATGGATCAAAATCATGAAGTTGATTGAAAACTATAAGGGGCTACTTTGCAAAGAGTGAGAATGATGTTGTCAGAGTTGATATTCAAAGTGTGCAATATGCACATCATTTTTTAGGAAGAACTTGTTACATTTTCTAAAGATTCAAATAAGTCAGTTCGAGCATTATTACCTTATAACAAAAGGTTAATGAATGCTAAGCTTCTAGCTAGAGTGAAACCATCAGAGTTCTTATTCGATATAAAACTGGAGCATAGGGTATTGTACAAAGATGGAAATGGTCAAATGGGTTTTATGAACACGTGATATCCCAAAGGCTATAACAGGTCACCTGTTTGTACAAAGAATGAACTGTAAGAAAGAGCTTGCAAAGGGATTTGATATCTTACTGCCCCTTGAAATGGATAAAAGTATAAAAGACTTACGAAAGGATAAAAATATTTTCAATACAATCTTTTAACTTAGTAGTGTTTTGTAAATTTTGTTGTTGTAAAAGTTGTTAATTTGTAAAAAGAGACTTGAACGTAGTATAGCCTATATATAGATGTTGTTATGTTTTGACCTCATTACATTGGGGGTTTAGAGTCAAAATTCATGATTTGATGATTGACAACCTTTTGTATGCTAAGCTAACACATAGTTGTAAGCCACAATGACAGAGTTCGCGTATCAGCTCAGTTGTGTGAAGATCAAAAACTTATCCTGAATAGTAATCCAACGAATAACAAACTCTTGAATGCTTGACGATAAGAATATAGAGTTTGTTCAAATTTCAAATTGAAAGATATGGATATGCCTTTAATCATAGAAGACTCCCAATTCATATGACAATTTATTATATATATATATATATATATATATATATATATATATATATATATATATATATATATATATATATATATATATATATATATATATATATATATATATATATATATATATATATATATATATATATGCTAATAACTTCTTTGTGAAAGTTCTTAAAAGTAGATCTGAGAGTTTGTCTATCAATCTGAGGTGTGTCTTAGATTAAAAGTTCTTAGAAGTAGATCTAATGCAGAGTTTGTTTATTAATCTGAGAAGTATCTTAGACTAATCTCTTGCCTTTAGAAATTGAATTTAATTACCAAAATTTAGTTACAAAGGATTTTATGTGTTAGTACTTATTGTGATTGCATATTTTAGGACCAACCGTTATATATATATATATATATATATATATATATATATATATATATATATATATAAACCATGTTTTAGATAGTGGGGTTCCAAATGTGAACACATGTATGTATGTGTATAATACATATAAGTTGATGAAATAAAGGTATTTCATGGATAACAATGTTGTATAATATAGGGAGCCAAAACATTAAGTTTAAACCTCGAAAAATTGTAAATAAATTCTAATTCTGGTTAATTTGTCAGTAATTAGCGGCAGGCATATAACAGGACGATAATTCATTGGTAATTTAACGATGTATTACCGACAATCTTACGATCTATCACAATCCGTTGGTAATCTGTCGCTAATTACCCGATGGATCACCTATGGCCAGAATTCTTTTGTAATTATTGAGGTACAACCATCACTTTTTCGCTCCATATTTTGTACATTGTTATTATACATAGAATACCTTCATTCACCATCCAATATATTATGCATATATGTACATGTGTATGCACCATCGGAACCAATTACTCAGAACATGATTTTATCATTGTATATTTATATATGTATGCATTTGTGTATACACCAACACACTGCCATACATACATATATACATACATACATACATACAAACATACATATATATATATATATATATATATATACATAAATACACATACACATAGACATATGTGCATATACACACGTACACATACACATACACAGACACATACATATATATAGGCATACACCCACATACATATGTACATTGCACATACATATACATACCTACACATACATACACATAGACATACATACATACACACGCATACACTCAAAACACATACAAAATCTTATTCCTACAAGATACAATTTGACGACATGTGGAGTAGACTTAGATTCCATTTTGTGTCCTCTTTTTGGAAAGTATAACAAGAAGGTGCCTCATGTGTTTTTATTGTGTGGAATGGTGGAGCTTATATTGGTCGTTGGTTCGACTTGATTTTCTAGAATTTTGTTTCTTTGTTGGAGGTTTTTTACATGGTTTGATAAAAGAAAATTGTCCAACGTTAAGAAAGTTGAAATAATGAACATCATATGGGTGATTTGGACCTCCGAACACTTGTGTTTATGATGCTACCAAATTTTGTAAAGATAGTATATTTGAAACGATTGTTGTTTATTCTTTTCAATGGTTTGGTCATAAGAACAAAAAACTTAAATCAATTGAGTAGTTTGGTTACAAAATTTCATTTTAGCTATTTAATTCATTGTAATTATTTTCCTGTGTTTTCAGTAGCCCATTACTAGTTGGTTCAATAAAATTCGATTGTTCAAAAAATAAACTTAACGATTTCCGATGGAATAAAGTTTAAAAAAAGCTTTCCATGGGTGTTCGGCCGCTATTTTCTCATAGATTTTCGAAGGATATTAATCTTTTTAGAAAACATTTTCTATGATTTTCCTGGGTAATCATCGACGAATTCTTTTCTGTGGCTAATCTGCCATGTTTGTTGCTAATTAGAGGTTTTATTCTCTGTGGATATGTTGTCAGTATTTCCAACGGATTTCATTCCATCATTCTGCTTTTCTAGTAGTGTCGAATTACTAGTTGTGTATAGAAATTCGTTTGAACAAATGTCAACAAAGGCAAATTTGGTGCCCCACTTCCCCTCCGCGACTTTGTTGGAAAAGTCATGGATTTGTTTGCTCATGTGTAATCGTTATCTCCACATATAAACAGATGTTAAGTATGTTCATATATTTGAATCCATATCTGATTAAATTACTTGAATTCCGATTTTGAATACCCAATTATGATAACATATGCAATCAAAAATACTTCTTGTTTATTCATTACTTCTTTTAAGTCATCAAAGACGAGGATCGAATGCAATAACAATAAAGAAAACGATAGCATTTCGTGAGCAGAATAAACAGTTGTTATTCCAAGACACCATAAAATAAATAAGCAAAAGCATCTTCAATTTTACATATGCTCGATACACAAATATAACTTGCTAAAGATATAAAACATACATAGACCCGATGTGACTAGTTACGACAAATGCGTGCAGTGGGCATCGTCACACAGACCTGTGCATATTTCTTCTTAGCAGCTGCAGTTCCACGCTTCGGCTCTTCATCATCGGCCAATGCAACTTTAGCCATGGAGAATGCAGCTGCTGCTGCAACTGCAAACATCATGTCCCTCCTTCCATTGATGCTGCTCCCTTCTTTCTTCTCATCCACCACAGTGTTCTCAACTCCGGCTACCTTTGAGGCCTTGGCCATCACCACCAATCCCCGGCGACCGGTGGTAGAGGGTTGCTTGGTGACTGCGATAGCGGCGGAGCCACCAAGGAACGAGGAAGCCATTGTCATGGATGCCATTTGTTGAGTTGGAGGATTAGGAATTTGTGTTTTGGTTCGCACAAGTGTAGGTGCTATTAGTTTTTTAGTCGAAAGTGCTTTTCTTGAAGGGTATCCATATTCTTATCCAAACCCTTAGGACGTCTCAAATCGGTTGCTGCCACGTGTAATGTTCTATCTAGGCCACCAGCCTTACCTTAATTATGTGGTCTTGGAACCTCTCGAGCATTATATTTTTATCTAATCAATTGTATTTTAATAAATTTAGAGTAAATCACATTATGGTCCTTATAGTTTGAATAGTTTACATGTTTGGTCAATAATTTTTTTTTTATTTTATGGTTTGGTTTTGTTTCATATTTCGTCCATCACACCTAAAATCACTATTATACAATTTTTATTGTTTTTTAACTTTTTTGTTGTTGGTTTAAATATTTTAGCAATATTAATTTAAATGAGTCCATTCAACACTATCATTCATCCTCTCAATATTAATAATCATAGACAACATTACAATGTTCACCTTTGGTACCAACACCAGTCATCTTCGGTAAACCCATTCACCTCCGGCATCACCACTAGTTACCAAATTTAAATCTAAAATCAAAATCAAAACCAAACAAAACTCAAATACTAAAATTAAACCCTAACCAGAAATTAAAATCTAATCTGAAATTTGCATCCTAAAACAGTACGTGATCTGCATAAAAATATGATGAAATCAAACTTGATGAAATCTACGACCTAAATTAATGATATATGCATAAGAATCAAACCTGGTGAAATTAAATCCAGAAAAAATCTCAAAAAAACATGAAAAAAATACCAAATCTAATGAAATGTGTTGCATTTTATGGTTTTTTCTAAAGTCGGCGAGAACACTTTCAATCTTTTTTTCACCAGAGGTTTACAGTTAGAATGATGTTAAAAAACCCAAAAATTTATTTTTGCGTCAATCGGGTTTCCAGAAGTTGATGTTTAGAAGGGGTGGATTTGTATTAGAAATATTTCAATCTTTCCAAAACCCGGTGGTTTCAGAACTCAAGAAGAAAAAGAGTGAGAGTGAGAGTGAGAGAGAGAGAGAGAGAGAGAGAGAGAGAGAGAGAGATAGAGGAGGAGGAGGAGGAGAAGGAGTAGTATGCATCAACAATGGATTTATATAAATGGGTCGATGTATGGTCATCGATTTCTACAAAGGTTTCTCCACAAAACTCATCTACATCTTCATGAATTCTGGAAAGGTAGAAAAAGGAAGGGGAGATATAGGTTTTTGTTCTTCAATATGTGTAGTGCAAGAAATGAGGAGGGGTGTGTAGGGTCCATGAAGATAGATGAGCGAGGATGAAGAATGGGTGGGTGGTTGTGGTGGCGGATGAGAACGGCGACATGTTGTAACGTCCCAAATTTCAAACCAAAATTTTCATTTAAAATTAGAGTAAACATTCAAAAACCATTCCTTGAAATCATATCATAACATTCAATTGTTTAAATTTCATAAACTTAAGCCATAGTTAAATTATAAAAACCAGCGGAAGTCGAAATAACAATATAAAACCGATGTGATGTATAATCATGACGCGCCCTTCCTTCTCATGTCTGATCAATCTGAAAACATTTAATTTAACAACGTCAACAAAAATCTTAGTGAGTTCCCTAGTATACCATATATTCCACAATACACACAATGCATACTGATGTGAATTAAGAGCATTTGATTTGGCATGCGGAATTAAAGAACACAAAAGGAACATGGTGGTTTGGGTGCTAAAAGGTGTATTCGATCATAGTAATGAGTACAAAAAAGGCACTAGACTGGAACTCCATAAATACCTCACTCACTAGTCACTATGAATTACATCTCTCAAGCACACATCTACAAGTGGTATGGAACACACCTTATATAGAGGTGTTTACATCTCTCTCTCTCTCTCTCTCTCTCTATCTATCTATCTATCTCTCGTGTCACAAGGCTACACTACCACATGCAAGTGGGTATACAAGAGTCGAACCATTACAAAGTCATACATGCATAACTTTGCACCCCAACATTCTCCCCCTCAAAATTAAGAATGGATGACCCACTTCAAATCTTCCAAAAATCAAGCAACTTCACGAACCAAGCCTCAAGCATGACACATGTAGAGATGAACTTCAAATCTTCAATTCTTCAATGACCTTCCAATACGGGTTCTAGAGTGTGAGACTATACAAATCGAGCATCAAAAGGCAATTAGGAGTATCCAAACCTCCACAAGATTACCCAATTTTGAGCTTATAAGCACACCCCAAAAACCTTTAATAAGTTCAAACCCATCATGAACTAATCACTTCTAAATCTCCAATTGAATCACTTCATAAACTTCGTTTCTCAAGGTCACTTTGGTCTTCAAGTCCGCGTAATATGAAAAAATCAACTTTCGAATTCCCATATTTATTTCTCTCCCCATTCTTATAATCAAAAAATGATTATAAAACCAAAAAGGGATGAGAAAGCGCTCAAATTCGGAATTTTTCTATCCAAAACTCCTCCTTAACACATGGCATAAATATTTTGCATAAATCCCGAAAAATACAAAAAATCTCATTTTTTTCGAATTCGTTCACGGACCGCCTTTGATGAAATTTCACAAATTTGGGTAGAAATTGTCAATTTCGAAATTTTGCAGTGACCCAGTGCGCCCAAAATAGCCTAAGATGCGAAACTCTACCCTAATTGCGAAACTGGGCATAAAGTGTTAATTCGCATCAACTGTAGGGGCCTGTTTCGAAAATATTCTCATTTCTCAGAATTTTCAGCCCAATGTCGAAACTGGGTAAATTATGCCATTTTGCATAAAGTCCAGGGATTCGAAACAAAAATTCAGCTTTTAACTCCTCTTTTGTTCCCATTTCGAAGTTATGTATGTTTTGCCACTTCGTTGAAATTCCAGGGGTCCAACTGAAAAAGTTTGTGTTCTTCCCCAATTTACTTGTACCAGTGGACTATTCGTCATCGAAGCTTGATAACGACCAAAATCGACTTCGAAATTGAAATAGATCCTCGACATCGAACCATGTACAGAATCAACAGTCGACATCGATACTCGACAAAGGATCCTCGACATCGAATCCTTGTAAGGACCCTCGACATCGAAGCATATACCATCAAGACTCAAGACTCGACGAATATTGATGAGGCACCCATAACCTTTGAAATCAGGCTTACGACCATCGACATCGATACCCATAACGAATCCTTCAACCCTTCAAAATCAATCCTAATTTCTCTTGTCGACATAATATACGATGCAATTCGAAATTGATTCAATCATTCGACCATCACACCAAATTCCCAACATCGATTTTATTCCGAGTTCGTGTTCATTTCTGTCACACCCCCAAACCAAGGATGGCGGAAACGTCCGGGGGTGGAGGACTTCATGTATAGTATCATAACAACAATTGTAATAGTAATTGAAGCAAACACAACCAACATATATATAATTGAAAAAGTGACATCATTGTATGAATTACATGTTTACGAATCAATTACAATATGTTGACAAAATATGAAATAGTAGACGCCTTAGCGCCCCATCCTCAAAAGCACTTGGTTACCTGTTTAATGATTTCCTGAGAATACAAGTTGTTTGAAAAAGTGTCAACACAAAGGTTGGTGAGTTCATAAGCTTTTGTTTGGTATTATTAAAAGCCTTTCGTTTGTAAAAGTAGTATTTGTGTTAGAAAATCCAATATTTTCCTTAGTGTGTAAATGTAGTCTTAAAACCCAAAGACCGAAATGTACAAGTAATTTGTCATATTTATAGTAAAACAATGCAAGTTTAAATCGACATAAACTCGTTAAATTTTAATGAAGTTCACGTAAATTCCAATGTTTATTTATACTTTATGTGAGTTTATTATAACCATACTATGACCAAGGTTGCCTAAAACGACGTTCTTCAGGCGTCGGAAATGTTATGACATTTGTCACCCCAGACCTATCGGTCTAACTGTTGCATGCAGTTTAGGTGTGGGTTTGTCAAACCCAATATAGATCTATACACAACTATCACGCTCTCCCTCAAGGAGACTCTGGTTACAATACAGGACTTAATGGTAATTTGAAGTAAATGTCTCACAAAGTCATTACCGGAATTACGTGTTATGAAAACTTGGTACCGTATGGCCGTACCTTGCTTAATGAAAATATCCTTTGTATAAATGTACCATTTTTAAATGTATGTGTTATGTAATGTATCATAAACTATACCTATTATAGTTTATCAACCAAGGGTAGTACGTAGTAATGTATGCAAACTATATTCAAAATAGTTTATTAAATGTTTGAATGTATCGGTTGTATTTTGATTATAATCACTTGTTATTCTTTATATTTTATATGTCCGAATCCATTTGTAAACTGATGTGTGTCTAAATATTAAGATAAAATGTCATATATTGCAATAACATATAATCACATAAAGATATACACCTTGCTCAACATGTTACAAGGTGAAATGAAATTGACAGCAACTTTTCGTTGAATACAGTTTCTGTTACTGTTCTTAGAAAATTTATAGAAAAATCATCAAAGCTCTAAGTCCAAATCCGCAAATTCTGAGAGTTTGGAATATGAGTCTAGTTTGTTCGTAAATTTTATCATGATTTTTAGTGATCTCTAACAGAGGTGAGAATGTTCATAATCACAGACTGGTCCGGGTTTGCCTCTGAAATGACAGGTAGTTTTGTAAAAATCATCATAAATTGTATAAAAATCATATGGAGATGTGCAAGTAGCCATTTTAAAGCTAAGAGTTTGAACTACTTGAACCTGGAACAGTTTTGAAAACTAAAATATTTAAGTTGACCAAAACAGTCCGTGATCGAAGTTCATCTTTTCTGATGTAATCTGATAGAAAAAGTTTAATTGTGTTCTTGATGATTTTACTTGTATTCCCCCCTTAAAACTTAAGAAAAACATGTAAATGTAGGGGTATGAACTCACCTTATGTGGTTTCAGTAGATGAAAGTGAGAGAGA